AAAAAAAAAAAAAAAAAAGGGAGAGTAATAAACCCTTTCTGCCGGCATAATCCCAATTTGATGTAACGTTTTTTTTTCGAATTCTATAGGCATATTCTTAGTTTTTATTTTCTCATCAGAACGTCGAATAATTGCTCCCCGTTAAGTAACTAGCTCTCTTTTTATTTGAAACTAGTATAAAAGATTGCAAGATGAACAGAAGCAGACAGAATTTTAACTGTACTTGCTTTCAAGAAGACGTTCTTTTCAAAAAACTTTATTCCTCACTTTGAAAGATGAATCCATCAGTATGGTTACTTCTTCTCACCAGCACACTTGTACTGGTCAACCTAGCTGCAGGTAAAACAATCTTTTCTCATATTTTTGTTTGACAGTCGTTAATGACGGCGCAGCAGATGATGAAAAGAACTGAATTCACATTATTTTTACACCAAGTATTAAAAACGGAAGCATACCGTTTTGATGGATCATTTCGTTCTGATGCTGCAAATTACTGATTTCCTGACTCAAAATCTCCTAGCAATCTGAACTTCAGTTGCCAAGCATTGACTTCTTTACAAAAAAATAGCAAAATGGTATGAAAAAACAGTTTAAGAAACGGAAGCCCACTAAATAACATTCATTCTTTATCTAGCCAATACCTCAAAGAACCAACTTCCAGAACTTAATAGCAAAAAATTTTGCAGCAAGGCCGCATCACGACCACCGTCATGATCATGATGACGATCATGACCATGACCATGACCACGACTACGACCACCATCATCACGGGCCCCATCATTTTCACCATGACGATGACGAGCACGGCCATCATCATCATGATGATCATGACCATGACCACGATCACCACCGCCATCACTGGCCTCACCACCACCACTGGCCCCACCATTTTCACCACGACGATGAAGAACACGGCCATCACCACGATGACGATCATGATCATGACCATGACCACCACCACCATCACTGGCCCCACCACCATCACCATGACGATGAAGAGCACGGCCATCTTCATAATCATGATGACGATCATGACCATAACCACGACCACCACGACGATGAAGAGCACGACCATCATCATAATCAACATGAACACCATGACCACGACGATCACGCCGATCATGATCACCACGACCATGACGGACACCATCACGAAGACGACCATCACGAAAAGCATCATGAAGCCGACGGAGATCATGATCGCCACCATGAAGACCACGATGGTGGACATCACGACGAACATCACCACGACGACCACCATGCCGACCAAGGCCACGATGGCCATCATAATGAACATGAACACCATCACCACCATGGAGAGCATGGCCATCATCATAACACTGCTCATCATGAAGATCACGACAAAGGCTTTGAGCATGCCGGTCATGAAAAACACGACGATGAGCATAACGACGACTGGAAGCATCACGGCGAACACGGACATAAGAATGACTGGAAAGATTACAAATACGGTGGCCAAGGTGACTGGATGAAAGAACACACCTGGGGTGACAATACAGAACATGGGGTTGGGGAGCATCATGATAACGGTTGGGGCGATCACTGGGGAGAGGAGCACGGTCATGATCATCACCATCATGATGATCACGACCACGGTGATGATCACCATAAACAAGGTTTCGATCATCATAGCCACAAAGGACATGACGAACACCATGAGCATGACTTGCACGACCACGATCAGGGTCATGATCACGACCATCACCACAACGATGACCACCACCACGATAATCATCACGAGCACGGGCATGAACATGGACATCATGGCCATGAGCACGGATCCCATGGCGACGATCATGAACATCACGATCATGAAGATGAGCACCAGCACGATCAAAATCATCATCACCACGATCATCATCACCACGATCATCATCATTTGTAGAATCTCAAGAGGCGCTGTCTGTACACCTGTTAATTGTTCATCTCATAGTTTGTGACTGTACTTTTAAAAGTAAACCATCTTATAAAACAAATATATGTTTTTTACATCATAATTTTTATTAAGAAATAAAAGCTCTTTATCAATTAGCTTTACGATCACTACTTTAGTATACTTATTAAGCGTTTACGAATAACAATTACAAACTTAGCACGGCAATATTCATGGCAAGAAAATTATTGGAAAATTTAGTTTTTTCTTTTGGACTAGAATATAATTTGTCTATTCAAACTCAGTTATTTAAAAGTTTTAATTATATGAAATCAGCAACCATATGAATCGGTGTTAATTTAGGAATGAACTTCATTTCTTGAGAATTGCTAAAATGGTTGCTATGTGCAGAAAACTGTAGTTTGATGCTAATGTAGATCGTGTGATAGGGACGATATAAAGGCAATACAAAGTCAAAATGATTGAAACCTCATGGTACATCGGAAATAGCTAAAGAGATTAGACACCAAGAACAGGTGAACTTAACGTGGAGTAAAGGGAAAGAAATGATGGAATCTTTATAGAAAAGCATACATAAAATATTAAAACTTGGTTTTTATTAATGTATTCCTGCTCCTAAAACGAGGACCACTTGTATAAGCAAAAGCTTCGAATATTTTTAGTCCTTCTTCTACTAGTAAGATCATTTTAAGCATCGTCTTCAAAAACTGCACTTCTCACTTTAGAAAGTGCTATTTACCCTGAGCTGTTCTTTTACAACAAAAAAATTGAGGCAAAGATATTTGCATTGAAAATTATATACGTCGCATAAAGCGGGAATACGTGTCTACACTAATATGTATGCAATGGGTATATTGTGTATCAGCAATTAACCAAAGCCGTCATATTGTTGTCATTCGACCAAAAATAAGAGAAAAGGTCACCCGTATTGACTTTATCACTGCTGTTTAATTGTGTTCTTACAGTAGTAATTGTAACAGTACTTAAACTTTAAATAAAAACTAGACACCAACAAAATAACAATTAAATTTCACACGTATTAAACAATTATAATAGGAGTACATCCAATAGTTTACCAAAATAAAGTGCATAAGAAGCCATAATAATAGCACTTATTTCTTTTATTTTCGTTCAGCACGCAGATTAATTTAGTTGCTAGCTAATCTACATTAAAGTATTACTGGATTAAACAATTTAATGACATTCATTGTTGATGTCATATTTAATGGGCAGTTATCCTCCAGCAACAA